TCCAGAGAGTAGTTCACAGTGCTGCAGCCCAACCACTGAATCAGTCTCTGCCTACTGTTTGCCAGAAACTCCATAAAGCCAATTCCAAAGTGTGGCTCTGTCTTGGGAGAACCACTTCTGAAATGGTTTCACTCTGATTTATCTTTTAAATATTGTCCCCTTTTCTTCTCTTAAGGTCGGATTTATGCCTAATGTCTCTCCGAAGTCCATCTGTCATCTTCAAGGAAGCTCTGCTTTTGTCTTTGGTTCCCTTTTGCAGTCATCCTCCAATTTTGTGAACAGGCCATCTCAAGGAATATCATTTCTTTCAAAACGTCTCTGCTGCATTGCATTGTGTTTGGATCTTAGCAGCGGTCTAGTACTTATCCAAGACTAAAGCCTTTGGATTCAAGAGCCCTGCTTAATAGATAAGGTGATGTTATCTTTTCCTGTTTAAAAGGGAAGCCTTCCTTCACATCAGCCTTCAAAATTTTGCAACTTGCAGGAAAAAAAAAAAGTTTCTAAGTGATTGCAGAGATTGGGCAAATTCTTGCTTCCTTTCATTTATATTAACTACATGGTCTGTGCTAGAGTTTTTATTAAGCATGCTTTGCTCACGGCTGAGGCTTTCCTGCAGAGCACCAATATGTAATACAAATGACATCTGTCATGTTTGATTTGTTCTGGTGCTTAAATGAGGGGCAGAATAAGGCGCTGTCATTTGTTATGGGAAGTTTTGAGTATCTCCCTATGTCAACCTACGTCTTGTAATTTTTTAGGGTCAGATAAGAGGACTTTAACTTTATTGAATTTAAAATAGAAGTTTTACTGATGGACTTAGGTGACTTACATTACTAATGCAAATTCATCCAGAAACATTAAATAAAAAGGGAGCGCATCTGGCAGTTCTTGAACTGCAAATTCCTAGCAACTAGGAGAGAATATGCTTAAAGTATTTCCTTGTTCTTAAATTCTTTCCTAGGCATCTACTACCAGCCACAGAAGAAGGTAGATTGTGGAGGTTATGTGCCCAGCTTCTTGGCTGCCCTCACGTGTTATTCCCTAGCCAGTGTCGCAGTCTGTATTTTGGGTGTGAAGGTTTTCTCCTCTGCAGCTCTGGTTCCCTCACTGCCTGTTTCCCTGTCTGCCAGCTTTCCTTTCGCTCCTTCTTGCCAAACCCTTCAACTTCTGTTATTCTACACTTTGTTCTTTGGTATTGATGTAATGCTTAATTAATAATTTTATAAAGTGATTTGGTGGCTGGTTTGTATAAAGTATATTAGCAAATAAATTCTTGTTTTGTCTAGATTTGGAGGGGAAAGGTATCTGTGTTATATGTATACTTTCATTTTTATATGAAGAATGTTTATATGTTCACACACACACATATATATATATATATATATATAAATCTGCTTTATCACATGCTTCTGTAAACTTCTGTTGTCTGCCCTGAGTCCAGATAGATTTCATACACACAGTCTGACTGTTTGATTGTTGCTATTATGCTTCAGAGTATGTTTTCAGAAATAATTTCCTGCCACATTCCTGACTGTATTTGTAGGCTCAGTTTATCCTCTTCCCTGCTGTTCCATGATCTGCCCCTAGGTTACTAACAACCCCAACAGACAGCCTGGCTCGTGCTACCTGCTGCTTCAATGCAGATTAACTCGCTACCAGCCATATGGGCTACGGACTTCACAAATTCCTCTCCTTTTCCTTTCTGCTCTCGGAAAAGTTAATGGACAGTTTGCCAGTAAAGAAAACACAAACCAACCCCCCAAACCTGTGACATAATCACCTGGCCTTAATACAACAGGCCTCTCCATCTGCCTTTGCGCGGTGACTTGTGCACAGAAAGGGCTCTGTGCGTGTGCAATGTGGGCTCCTATCAGTAACATAAATGTGGGCTGTTATCAGCAACCTTGTGCCATATTTAATTATTTAAAATGCTGTGAAATTAGAAAAAAGCATTATATATATTGCATATATACATATAATCATATATGCCCCAAAATATGACCTTTTTTAAACTTGGATTTATTTGATTATTTTAAAGGTGTGGACACTCTTAGACATTGGTATGAAAAGTGTTTTAGTGTGCTGTGTGCTTGTCATCTTGGGAGAAACTGGTCTCAATCATGTGGCATTTCATTTTGTACTGGCCAGGTCAGGTAGAGGAGCAGCATGTTTACTTCAATATTAAGCCATCAGCAGCTTATGGCAATATATTGTAAGGAAAAATGGGTTTCTGAACATTATTAAGTCTTTAGTTTGGGATTAGGAGTTTTTAAGACAGATTTAATTAAACAGAGCAGGGACACCTTTATAAACCTGACGCTGGGGTTAATTCACTCGTCTAATGTGCTCCATTTCTTGATTACACCAAGATGAAACAAATTCCATGTCCTACCTGGGGAGCCCTAGAAGGGAATGTGAAGTTTCATCTCCAGACAGTTCAACGACCTGGCAGTTGGGCCATGATTAATAACTGTGTCAAGGAACTCTTTAGTGATGAAATGCAGGGCACTTTCATAGAAGCTGTGGTCCTGGCTGAAGGGACAGGCGCTGACCTGATAAAAGAGGCACTTTTGGTGATTTTTTCACTAGATGCTTCTCAGTTTTGCTCAATTCTGGACCCCGTAGCTGTGTGACCTAATGGTGCAAGATTTACAGAGGAGAATGTTGGGTTACTTGAGTTGCATCTGGCTAGCTTTTCTTTGCTAAACCTGAATCTATGCTGAGTGGGCCTTAAATATGTGACTTCCTGCAAAATACCTGACAAACCAAACATGAGAGTATTTTATCAGGAGAAAGTGAATGAATGTGTCAGGACATTCAAGAATATAGCAAAAAGGAAATGTAGAATCACTCATTTTTGTTCTTTTCTCTGACATATGAGGAAAGACTGTCAGTTACCTTTATAGTTCCCTCTTTATTGAGCCTGTGACTCTGTATATGGCTAAAACATCCTTTTCCAAAGGGCATCTTTCTTGATTTTTTAGCTGCTCAGTGAGAAACAAGTGACTGCTTCTTCTAGAATCTTTTCCAGTGTGTAACTGGTGTTCCTGTTTGGAATGGGCCTCTTCTTTCCACTGTGAGCAGTAGCTTCTAAATGATAAAGGAAAGTTCCTGTGTCTAACAGGAATGGGAAGTGTGCTGGCACACTGCTATTTGTCCAAATCTCAGCCTTGAGAATATTGTATTGTTCTTCAATTTGGCCATTTTCTGTAATAAAATTAATTCAGATTGAATGGACCCTGTTTCTGAGTGGTTCTAGACTGTTTTCTAACACTTACTCTTCTGTCAGTCTCTGAGAGATCAGCACATTTTGTTATGAGAATTTTTTCATTTATTTCCATGTTATTGATATAAGTACTGAGAAATATTGGCCGGGTACCCAATCCTGCAGCCTATTAGGGCATTCTCAAATCAAGAAGTCAATGCATATTACTAGATATTAGGATGCTCATTGAACTTGCAAACCCAGCATTCAGCTTGCAATGCCTTTTGCTTTCTTGTGTCTGTGCTGTTTATTCCTCCAGCTTCTAGATTTAAACTAAGTAAGATCATAGTGCAAGTCTGTTGTTAGAAAATGTGGTTCTCAATCCAAATGAACCACAAATGTTCAAGATAAGGGAAAGATAAGGGAAAAATACATTCTCTATTTTGTGTTTTCAGATCTTTGTTTGAAGCATAGAGTTACACGTGATTCTTAAATAAAACAACAACAAAAACAAACACAAAAAAAAAGTCCTTCTGGAATCATCTGTGGGAATTGTAGATGAATGTGCAAACCAAGTATCTATCCTTTGGAACTGTTTTTCCATTGCTTTTTCCCTAGTACCTATATGAATCTGATACGAGTTCTTGGCATGGGCAATCACAGCTGAGTCAAGCCAAAGGAAGCCCAGGCTTTGAAATGTTACTTTGAAGGTACCCTGAAGCCTAATACTGATACTTTGAGTCAGGCCACTTCATAAACACACTATTCAGGGAAATTTTTAAGCTGAGGAAGAATCTGGATTTCGCTTTGTGTAATATTCTGAATGTGTCTTGTTGGTACAGAACTGTTTTTTTCCCCTTATTTATTCATTTATTTTGTTTCTGGAATACCAAATAGCTTGTTTGCAGCAAAATTGTATTGTTATTGCTATGCAGATCTGGACACGAGCCCTGCAGACGGTTAAGCAAGGGAAATAATGCCACCTTATGTCCTGATTTGTCACTGCCGAGCCTGATGTTTCAAGTCAAATGCATTATCAGCACGGACCGATTTGGACTGTGTTCCTCCTGTTCTGTGGAGTCATTTTCACTTGGTCAGAAAGAATGAGATGAATATGAAATACTTAATGTGTTAGTAATGATTTGGCTCCGACTCTGCATTAATTTGGCTGCATCAAAGCAAAAGCAAGGACAAATCGTCCCCAAAGTGCTAACATCAAACCGTGCAAATGTGATATTGCAGGTTTTCGTACTGGGGAATATTTACATGAAAGGCTTCCTGGGTTACTAGTAAATGAGATAAAGGTCATTAAAGCAGAACAACGTAAGTATGCATTGCATTGGTTTGAAAATTTCCATAACAAATTTAAAAGCGTTGAAAATAAATAACACTAAAAGTGGAACTGCATTGGAAATGTGCATCTACTGTGTACAGATGGTAGACTTGCCTGTGTTTATTTTGACTAACCCTTAGTATTTATGCTATTCAAATATTTTTACACAAGTTTAAGTTTTTTTTTCAAAATGTACTTAGAATCTGAAATAGTTTTTTTTTCAAAGCAATTCAAGTATTTGTTCCTAGCTGACGACTAACATAACAAGTTTTGAAATTAACATTCAAAAAGAGTCTCTGATAATTGATTTGAGCCCCAGTCATTTGTAGAGAGAAAAAAAAAGGTGAGATTTAAGAAATAAAGACTGCAATTTGAGTTTTTATACACACGTCACATTTTATAATTTTATTCTGTGTCTATGGAAGTTAAGGTTAATTTTTTTTTTTTTTAAACATGTGTGAGATGCTCAGCGAGCTCTGTAGCTCTGAGAAGTGAAACACTGAAGAGGAACAGTAAGTAATCTTGATATACTCTTCTCTTTGTTTAGAATAAGTGATTGTTATAAATTAAGACAACAGTCCTGAAGCCTGCTTCACCTTTAAAAACATTGTTTGTGTCCAGATGCTCCTCTTGATCTCCATCAAGAACTCTTTTTTTTTTAAATTATTTTTTAATTTACTTTTTAAAAAAGGGGATCCCTTTTTCCCCTTCCTGCTTTTATATGCAAGATTACCACCTGACCAGTGTATTTCAGTTCTTCAATTCATTCCTGATATATAGATACAGACATATATGGATATAGATCCTGTATATAGGTACAGACACAGCATTTTGGTTATGAATTTATTAGGGCTTCTCTTTCCTTGCTGAGCAAATTACGCTACAATTGTGAACACAAACTCCAGTGAAATATATTATAAGCAAAAATCTCCTGTTTTAAGGAGGAATTTTCCAGCTTGTGAAAGCAGTTTTGCTCTATTGATTAATGCTTATGGAGAGACCTTTCTGCTTCTCTATTATTTTGTTAAAGACTTGGAGAACTTTTCCTATCCAGCTGTTTGGCTGATGTTGGCCATGCACTAGGTGGAATATGTGAATTTCCAGTGAATCAACTGAGTTTTCTCCCTGGGTTTCATGTTTGAAATGATATGTTTGACAGTCTGCTGAAAGACCAGTTCCTGTGTTGTTCACAAATAGCAGGATCATGGCTTGAGTGGTGAAGTGAATTGTCTTGCATCCTCCTGTGAAATCAATACTTCACACAGGATTCAAATTGAGCAGAAATTGTAAGCAGCAGAAGTTGGACTTCCTGTTGATAGTTGCCTCCTCTTATTTTTATCTTCCATGTTTCCTGGATGGTTCATGGATACTGAAAAAACTTTTCAATTGTCTCCACTGGTGGGGGGAAAAAATTAAAAATTTTAAAAGGCATTTTTGATCTTCTAGGTCTACTACAGCACTTTTTTTTCCTTTTTTTTTTAATACACAGATTGCATGGTTGGAGGTTACTGTTGTCTAAGCAACTTGTTTGAGATGGAGTCCTATAAAGAAAGAAAGAAAAAAAGAACCCACTCTCTTGCTTTTGTAATCTCATTCCAGGCTTTTGGCATCATCTTTCTATCTGCTGTGCTGTTTAGAGAACATTTTACTTTGCCTTTGCTATCTTTAAACTTTTATGGGCTCTGTAGGTAACTCCTCCCTCTTGGATCAAATTTGTTTCTTTTGCTTTGCTCCTGAGCTCTTATCTTCCTTGGCTAAAGAGAGTGCCAAAACAGTTGGCAAACTTTGGGCATCTTTAATTATCATTAGCAGATTGTTGAGAACACAGTAGACAATTGAGGATCTGGTCTTCCTTGCGCCATTAAAATAGATTAGAAAAGGCTGTTTGTGCGCGTTGTACAAATTTGTTTGTTTTCAAGCACTGAGACTATAATGAAAATGTCCCAGCCAGGCTTAGCTGTTGCCGTAGTACCAGTCAAAGCCTGGAGCAGGAGTGAGACATCGTTGTTGTTGGATACCCAGGACCTTTTGGGTTACTAAAACTGGCCCTTTGGAGTGGAAGACCCACAGACCCCATGAATGACAAGCACAGACCAACTCCCCCACTTCTGCTCAATGCCCAGGGATGTCTGCTTATCCCTATAAACGTGTGCTGGCGCAAGAGTTTACAGGGTTTCACAAATTTTGGTGACATTTTCTGTGTTCTTAGTAATTCTGTATTCTTAGCTGGGCATCAGATAAAATCGCAGCTGAAATAATTGAATTCTAAAGCCATTTTTATATAATGACATTGCTTAATTATACAAATTGATAATAAATGGGATATATAACTTAGGTGAATGAATGTCTCATCTCTAGCAAAGGTCAATAAAAAAATACTTTAGTTAAGAATAAAAAAAAAAAAAAAGCACAGACTCAACCAGTCCTATCAGACTTAGCAAGTGCTCAGCTTATTCTCTGATACACAGGTACTTAGGTGTTTTTAAAGTGTTTCTTTTCTATTTTGTCTAATATAATAATACATTCTTCTATTACTATATGTGCAAGAACTCCTCTAAACATTTGGTGTCAGTAAAGCCTTATGTTTGGTGCATTCCCTAGGATAACTCTCTTGGTGTGCACCAGGCTGTGCAGAGAAAATGTGGTGCAATAGGAGAGGAACAAGTATGAGGGTCAGAAGGGGACTCTGCTGCTGGCTGGAGGTCTTCAGACTTGATTTAAATTCCTATAAAGTGCTTTGCTGTTTTGTATGTGTGTCATACAGAAGAGATACTAGAAACATCCCTCACACTTTGTAAGAATTCATCTGGCTTTTCCTTTTGTGTTGCCCATATGGTTCTCACAAAGAATTTGTCACTTCATTTTTGGATTCACACGTAAGTTTGAAGTATTGAAGCATTGACAAAATGTCTTAAATTTCTCACTTTCATCAAAATTCTGAGTGGTTGTATTTCAAATCAACAATAATATCTCTCAGGTTTCCTTGCAAATGTGCTGACCTCTAGCAAATGCTTACAAACATACTGATTTTCAAGTTTCTCACAAAGGCTGGTGGCATGATACACTTTCTGATACTGCTTTTCTGGGAATTTCACAGTTGTCTTGGTTGCATGAATATCATTGTCCAAGCTCTATGTAGGTAGCTTTCTGTAAGTTGGAATTAGCAGCTTCTAGAGAGGGTTTCCAGTTCCTCTAGTAAAATATGCTGTATTAGCTTTGGTATTCTGTTTTATTTAACTGCCTAATATATGTTGCTGTCGTTGCCTTTATCTTATGAGAGAGCTCAGATAGGCTGGAGAGTGAGCTCTGATTTCTGCTTAGGTAAAGTATTAAGGACTGTTCCTAAAAGAAGCCAGTCTGGCCTGGTGGCTTGATTAGTCCATAGCCACAAATACCAAAATATTTCAAACTTTCTGTGACTTTATGCAGTTGATTAACCAGAGATACTGTAACCATCAGAGCAGGGCTCAAGGCTGGAAGAAGTTTTGGCAAAACCAGGTTGGGAAGCAAATTTTCTTCTGTTGCTGCAGGTCTTTGTAAGGCGCCTTGGCTGCAGCGTATTTTTGCGCACACCCTGATGGAGCAGAGAGTTGGAGTTTCACATGGTCCTGCACATGATGTAGCCCTTCGGTCCTTACTCTTTTTGCTCCCACTAGTCATTTTTTTCCACTTTCGTTTGGGAAGAAATAAAACTTTGGAGGGGAGAGAAGCAATTCCCTTTTAATTGCTTGTTTGTCCTTGTCTGCTGCTATCCTTTCAGGTTCCTCTGAGCAGGGTTGGGAGTGTTTTGTCTCTCCTCTCTTATTTTCAGTGGTACCGATGGGGAAGAATGACATTTTCTGCTTGGATGGAAACCAGTCATTTCCCCAGATCTCCTTGAAAGAGCTTAATTTGCTCAACTTGTCAGTATTCAGTCTTCGTTAAAAACTCCCAGACTGGAATTTGGATTTAGTTCTTTCACTCACGTTTTCCCCTTTCTCCCCTGCCTTCCCCATTCCTACTTATACTTCCCGAGTACTTTCCCCACTGTTTTTCTTCTTTTTTTTTTTTTCTTTATTACTGTGTACTCAAGTTACCCTCAGCTCAGAGGAGAAAGGACAAAAAATAACCCCCTCCTCCAAACAAAAAACCCTCATCAAAATAAATAAATAAGTAGATGGAGAAAACAGACGGCTAGCTCGTTTTCTTCTGCCTTTCCCTTAAGGCATGAGGTAATGCCGAACTATTCAGTGCGTGATGCAACTGCCTCATGGACATGCAGAGAATCCCAGCAGCAGTAAAGACAGAGTTTACCCAAGCGGGATTTGGCAGCGAGGCCAGTCTCCCCAACAAGGGGCTATTTAAAGCCACAATGTGATGCATTTTTAACATTTCCATTCAGTGCGGGGTTTAATTGCTCACGGACAAACCACCTAGACGGTTGTGCCTGTGTGTTTGTGACTGGAATTGTTTGCTATCTGTGTGCTGTTTCTGTCTGCAGAGTTGTTCAAGCATCAGCTGAGATTCTGAAGCAGGACTGAGACAGGCTTCCCTCGGCACTCGCTGCAGGTCAGGATGGGTTTCACCCTTTGGTCAAGTCTTACATCTCCCATTTTTATCCAGTTATTCCTTTCCAGCAACATTCCTCCTGTCAGCCTGTTCACAAAGAGTGATGGTGAATAGAGTATGAAGATATAATTAGCTGTTTTATATTCACACAGAAATGAGAAACCAGTACAGAGAGGCTGAAGTCTCTTTCGGGGACACAGAGGTGATGTGTGACAGAGGCAGGAGGAACCACGTATCCTGACTGGGAGCCACCAGGGTGACAGGGACATGCAGGTGAGCTCTACACTCGCCACCTTTGCAGCAGCGGAGCCACAGCACAGGCTCTCTGCCAGTTTTGGGGCTTGCCCTGACACAGGTTGCACTGTGAATGTGACTATTGTAGCTGTCTGATGGTGGCACATCTGTAGACCTTGATTTACCAAGCCTTAAATGACTGTGCATGACAGAAAGGGAAGCATGTTAGGCATACTCCCCACCAAGAGCAAACTGTGATTCCCAATCCTATCAATCCTATGTGTGTTTCTGTCTTGAATTCTTACCTGTATCATGGGGAAATCTTGAAGCTGAATTAATTTTACCAAAAAAAAAAAAAAGGGAAAAAGAAAAAGATATGAGTGTAAACTGCATGAAGTCAAGTCATTGCCAAATCGTAGGACTCAAAGCCATGTTTCAGCACTTTGTTGAGTCAAGGCCTTGGTATTTGGCAAATATTTTGACGTTCTTGGGTAGGATTAGCTTTGTACAAATCAGGGAAAGATGCTGGAGTTACATACATGACTCAGAGCTTTCTTCCCTTAGAATTATCAAAGCAGATAAGCCTTAGCTTTCAGAGATCTCAGCAGTGAGCCAGTATTTTCAGCAACAAAAGAACCAAAGTAGTATTCATGACATCTGGAATCCACTGACCTATTTGTGTGAGCTCATGGAAATCACTTTATCTTTTGGTACTTCTATTTCCTCATCT